TGTGTTGGCCCACTGAAGGCCAGAGTTCGGCCAGGTCACCTTGACCTGGCTGGTGCATCTTGATCCCAGTCAGCCTAAACAGGTTTGCTGTGGGAGGAGTCCCCAGGCAGGGCAAGGATCACAGCTCGTCTTTGGTCAGCATTGGAGCCTGGCAGCATGGGGCAAGGGAGTCCCTGAGCAGAGCCCAGTGTCCTCCTGGGGCTCGTGGCCAACCAGGACTGGGTTAATGCTGCTCCTAGCAGCGCAGGGAACAGCAGTTAGGGCTCTGAATGCACCAGAGCTCATGCACCGAAGCCTGCCGAGCTGCACTCATTGCAGCAGCCAGTCTGGCACACCAGGGCCCTGTGGAGTGAAAGAGACCTAGGCCAGCGTTAAAGGCTTTATCTGGGCAGCTTGAAATAATCCCTATGCATTCATGAACTCTTAACTTCTTGTAGTGACCAGGCTGAAGCTCGCAGATCCAAGACCAAGGAGGCTCGTAAGCGCCGTGAAGAACGTCTGCAAGCCAAGAAAGAGGAGATCATTAAGACCCTCTCCAAGGAAGAGGAGACCAAGAAATAAGTGCTGCCTGTCTTGTGTACATAGTGTTTTCCATCCGAGGGTATTAAATAAAAGACCTTATCCAAACTTATCTTGGTCTCTCTCCAGGGTTTCTGGAGCTGTGGGCTCCCCAGCTGGGGAAGAACTGCCCCCTCCCCTGCTCTTAGGGCACAGATCCTGCACCAGTCCAGGCAGCAGGCACAAGGCTCCTGTGATTCCTGGTGCAAGGCTGAGCCGTAACCCTCGAGGTGGACGGCAAAGAGGATGGGGTAGGAACGAAATGTAGCATCTACCACGCAGCTCAGGGCACGGAGAGGAAGGCCGCAGGGGGGCCCTCTTCTGGCAGTGCCTGTTGGTCAGGTTTCACAGCCAGCAGTTTGCTCTGCATCTGGAGCAGGCTGGAGGTTCCTGCACCTGACCAGAGGGCACCAGCAGCCCGTAGGGTCACCCAGCCACGTTTCCCCAGCAGGGGGCTGGAATCGCCTTACCTGGACAGGTGGTGGCAGCTCCCCAGCAGCTGCTCTAGGGCTTCTGCGCCTCCCTCCTCCCCAGGATCTTCAGCCCGAGCTTCTGCATCATCCGTTGGAGGAAGGAGGGGGGCAGGTCTGGTTGCACAGGATGCGGGTGCTCCGGTGTGCTAGGTGCCCATGTTTGTGCAGGGGTCATGGATGTTTTCTGGAGGGCATCTAGGATGAGCTGCTTGAGCATGTCCTAAACCCCCGGGGGAAAGAGCCAAGTTGGTCCCCTCAGTGCTCTGGCACATCGCTGCCGAGTGGGTGGGGAGGTGGCCGACTGCAGTCGGAAACCAAGCCTAGACCTGGGTGCAGAGCCACCACCGGCTCTAACAGGCGAGAGGCCAATGCACTCATGCCCCAGAGAAGTGCAGCCAAGTCCTGGTGTGACTGGATGCATCTGAACAGGGGCTGCTCGGCATCGCCACCGCTTCCCTGATGCCCATCAGGGAACCTGCTCCAAGGACCCCAGAGTTGCAGTGCCCCAGGAGGGGGTTTCCTACCTCGTGTGCCGGAGCGGGTGCCTTGGAGCTGTCGGATGAGCGGAGCTGGGAGTCAAAGAGCTTCTTGGCCCGGGAGAAGAGGGACTGCTGCAGCACCTCCTGCTGCAGCACCTCCTCCTCCAGCTCCTGCTGCTCGGCCCGCCTGGGGCCGGCGGGGAGGGGGGGGACA